AGATGGTTAAGCATCTGCCTTCAGCTCAGGTCATGATCCCCGGGTCCTGGGATCAAGCCCCGCGTCAGGCTCCCTGCTTGGCGGGGAGCCTGCTTCTCCCTCTCCCTCTGCTGTTCCCCTTGCTTGTGCTCTCTCGCTCTATCAAATAAATAAATAAAATCTTTAAAAATAAAAAAATAAAAATAAATTTTATGGCATAAGTACCTATAGAAAACTAATACTACATGTGCACTTTCAACATAACATTAAGAATACAGTCCATATTCATGCTATTTATCTAAGCTTTTATTTAACTACTGAAGTCCCTCATACTTTAAAAAAAAAAAAAAAAGATCCAGAAGTTTGAAAGTAAGTGAAGCAAGGGGTGTCTGGGTGGCTCAGTCGGTTAAGCGTCTGCCTTCAGCTCAGGTCATGATCCCGGCGTCCTGGGATCGAGCCCCTGCATCGGACTCCCTCCTGGGTGGGGAGCCTGTTCTCCCTCTCCCTCTGCCCCTCCACCCTCCTGCTTGTACTCGCTCTATCCCTATCGCTCTAAATAAAATCTTAAAAAAAAAAGGAAGGAAGGAAGAAAGAGAAAGAAAGCAGGAAAAGCAAGCAATAGCTAATTTATAAAGTAATTTAACCTGTTTGGGTCTCAGAAGTTCCTGTCGACATAATACAATTTCTATTACTGTAATACTTAAATTCCATGAACTATCACTAGGTCCAGATAACCTCAAAGACATTTTTGTTTAAGAAGATATTCATCAGAGGGGCGCCTGGGTGGCTCAGTTGGTTACGCGACTGCCTTCAGCTCAGGTCATGATCCTGGAGTCCCGGGATCGAGTCCCGCATCGGGCTCCCTGCTCAGCAGGGAGTCTGCCTCTCCCTCTGACCCTCGCCCCTCTCATGTGCTCGCTCTCTCTCATTCTCGCTCTCTCAAATAAATAAATAAAATCTTTTTTAAAAGAAACATTAAAAAAAAGATATTCATCACAGATTAAAAATTAAGCAAACCAAATAATTCCCAGTGATATTATTGATGTAGATCAATACTAATTTTTTTCAAACTATATTTTCATTGAGGAAAATTTAAAGTTAAGATAAACCCAATACCTAAGCTGAATAAGTAATCTCTCATTCCCCATCCACCCCGATTTTTGTTCTAATTGTCAATCATCACGCTGAATCATCCGATGGATGAGATGGTGTAATGGAATGAGTCCTACACTGGATGTGAGAAGACAGGATTCTACCACTGGCCAATTGCAACAATTTAGGCAAATCACTTCACTTCCGTGACCCTCAGTTTATTCACAAGTAAAGTAAGACTAGATCATCTATGACTCTAGATCCTATAATTCTATAAATTATTAGCATTTTATTTTAACCAGTTTTTGTTTTTGTGTTTTGTTTTGTTTTTTTGCGATCACTTTTAAGTAAAAGTAACAGTAGCACCCACGGAGGAATCGAACTGAAGAACTCCACAGGAACATTAACATGGCTTTCTATGGCCTCACTTTCAAATGCAAAGAGAACAAACAAACAAAAAGTATGTTGTATCTGAAGACTATCCAAGTAATATTTTGACCACACAAGCTTCTGGGGTAGAAAAAATAGTAGAAGAACAGTAAAAATGTTCAAGGAAAACCACCACCACAAGAATACCAAATAAAAAACAGATGCCCTACATACAGTTATTGCTACATGACAGAAGTTTTTCATAGCTTTTCAATACTCCTAAGAAGTCCTGACAGAAAAAAAACAAAAAAAAATTTTTTTTTTAAAGATTTTATTTATTTGACAGAGAGTGAGATAGTGAGAGCAGGAACACAAGCTGGGTGAGTGGGAGAGGGAGAAGCAGGCTTCCCGCCGAGCAGGGAGCCCGATGCGGGGCTCGATCGCAGGACCCCGGGATCATGACCTGAGCCGAAGGCAGACGCTTAACGACTGAGCCACCCAGGCGCCCCAAAATGTTTTCTTAACCATCAATCTAAATGTACTTCTTGCATCCTCAAACCTGAAAAAGACAAAATATCAGGCAACCTAGAGACTTATTTGTGCACATAATTGATCTGCTCAACTTTATACCTTTACAAGCATTTAGTAATATACCCTGAACATAAAAGGCATGTCACACCAGTTGAACAAGTGAATGAACTACATATGAATTTCTGATCAACAAATAAGTCCATAGACCATCAAAAACTAATGATGTAATGTATGGTGATTAACATAACAATAAAAAATTAAAAATAAATAAAAATAAAAAATAAAAACAAATAAGTCCATAGAAAATAAACTGTGGGGGCGCCTGGGTGGCTCAGTCATTAAGCGCCTGCCTTCGGCTCAGGTCATGATCCCAGGGTCCTGGGATTGAGCCCTATATGGAGCTCCCTGCTCCGCAGGAAGCCTGCTTCTCCCTCTCCCACTTCCCCTGCTTGTGTTCCCTCTCTCGCTGTGTCTCTCTCTGGCAAATAAATAAATGAAATCTTAAAAAAAAGAAAAGAAAAGAAATTCTGATCAAGCTTTACTACTTCTTTACAAGGTATTCTAGTAAAATGCAACATATGAAGAGAAGAAACTGAAGTAACTAAATAGGCTAGGCCTCCAGGGTTCCCAGGCATCAGTAAGAATCTGAAATTGCAATTAAGACAGATCACAAAATACAATTAAAACTGAGTAACAAAACACACTAAAAAAACTGAGTAACAAATAACCTGACATTTACCTACATCAATCCCTGGGCTATTCAAAAGCCTTTGCTTCCTACTGCAGTAATGGCAAGAAAATCTCACCACTTCCCAAATTAAAAAGAAAAAAAAAAAAGCTTACAAAAACTTGACTGTATTTACCTAGCTTTGGAACCAACTTTTACTCAATTAAATTCAAAGAAACATAAGTTATTTTCAAGCATTTTCTTTTAAAAAATTATGTGAGCACACCGAATACTTAAGTTTTACTGTCTGATTAAATCCAAAAAGGCATTCAGTTAAAAATGTATCTTTCTCAGAGGCCATGGAGGGAATCACAGCTATAGTATGTAACAGGCCTATTCAGGTTAAGTCGTAATGTGAATACATTTTTCTAATTAGAATACAATGTTTATTCACTCAACAAACATTTGCAGTGTCAATACCCTACACAGAAAATAAAATCCTACCTGGTGTCTTAAACGTAAAGATAAAATCTGAGAAGGGCCTATCCTGATCTCAAGAGATAAAACTGGTTCCTAAATACCTAAATACAAGGTAGAAAGTGTCAATGCCACGGGAGATGTGCAGATAAGCACTTCAGGAGTGCAAAGGAAGTTGTTACTACCTCACAGAAACATAACCCTTTCTATCTGTTTAAAGCAATTTCATAACTATTAACTCTCTTAGGATCACAGCAGCCAACCCTAGGAGAATGGATATTTTCCTACTATCATAGATGAGGAAAGGGAAGCACAGAAAGGTTGATCATGTTCCAAAACGTCACTTAGTAAAAGGAAGAATCAGGACTCTTTGTATTTTCTCTGGGGGAGTAGTTCAACATATGGCAAGCCTTTTGCAAAAGGAAAGAGTATTTTGGTATTGCAAGTAATCCCATCCTTATGTATGTATGGAAGTATGTGCATATTATTTATATATACGTGTGTTAACCTTGATTTCTGTTGACAGGTGTGCTTAAAGCAAGGCAAGGCAACTGTGTACTATAAATACTAAAATAAATAAATAAGCTCCCACCGGATCTAACAGAATAAGCAAATACAAACACTATTTCTTCCTCCAACAACTTGTGTTTACTTCTTTGGTAATTTTTACCCATTTCTAAAGAAGATTCTAAAATTGTTCCATCTGCTCCTGAGCCCAGGCCACTTGGTTGATCCAATAAATATTTTTATGAAAGGGTACATTAAGACATTTTTTTAAACAATTAAAAATTAAATAATGTCAACGGCTCTTCAGTTATGGAAAGGACAGTCCCATGTGACCTATTAGCAGCAGTTATTGATCAAGATATGTTGAACGAACGAATGAATATTTGTAGGCATTTTAAAATCCCGGGCCTGTTGCTCTTGGCTCAGTGTTCTGCCTCTCATCATTGCCTCACCAGGATGCACACAAGGAACGCAAATTTCAATATTAATTAGGATATGATTAGGGAAGCAAATCTGATGCAGGTGAATACTAATCCCAAAGATCAGAATTACCTATAACACTGCTCTCCAAGGTTAACTCTGTTGAAGTGGCGCCATGGCATGCAACATCAGTAAAAGAAAACTGACGCTTCCTGAGCAAACACTTTTCACAAATACCACTTATTCCCACGTCCACCTCTAATAACGACTACACCTAATGCAGTCCAATCGAAGAATTCAGTCTGCTCTCCATTAAGACCGCTTTCTCAATTACAGTTTCTCAAATCCTTCTTCCTCTATAAAAGAGAATTCACCGACTTCACCCAGTAAAACACCAATAATGAAAGGCAGGAGGTAGAGGGTTCCGATCTTTGCCATCTCCGCCACTACCCACCCTTCGCCATTACACCCCGAAGTGGTTTGCTCAGAAGGTGAACTAGTTTGCTCTTCACGCACTTGTCCATCGCTGTCACCCTCCCTAAGCCCTTCCACACTCCCAAGACGGCCACCAACTCCGCCTCAGAGTGAGCCCAGGCCCGCCACCTGTGCCGGCCCCACCTGGGCTCCCCCGGCCCTCCCGGTCTCCCTCGGTCGGCCCGCAGGACTCCGCACGCCCCCTCCCCACAGGACACCCGGCCGGCCGCAGCCCATTCTTCCTCCAAACTCCATAAGCCTCTTCCCCTCGCCCAGCCCCAGCTCCCCGCCGCGCCCGAGTCGCCCCGGACGGCCGAGCGGAAGAGGCTGGGCGTCTGCGGCGGGACCGGACCTACCGGGCCCGCGACGCCCCTCGCCGGGCCGAGAAGCCGCTCCCGCGGCCGGCGCCCTGGGAGCCCTCGGAAGCCCCGGAGCGAGCGGGGGGGCCCGGAGGCCGGGGCTGCGGGCGCCGGGGCCTACTCACCAGGAGCTGGCGGAGCGTGGTAGCCGGCGCGCCCCCGGGCCTGAGCAGCAGGACGCGGCCCCGGCGCGCGGCCCTACCCCGGGACCTCGCTCGGCGCGGCAAGCTGGGAGCTCACTCCAGCCGCCGCCGCCGCCGCCGCTGCTGCTGCTTCGCCACCTTGGCCGCCATCTTGACTCAACCCCTCTCCCTCCGCCCCCCCGGCTTCGGCGGCCGCCGCTAAGGCGGCTCCGGCGCCGGCTCCTCCTCCTTCCGGAGGGCTGGGAGATCGACTCCCTCCGCTGGCCGAGCGCGGCTCCTACCTCGGCCGAGCTTCCTGGGTCGCCCCGCGCCTGCTCCCCTCGGCTCTCCCCTCAGCCTGGCGGGCGGCGGTCCCCTCGAGCGGAGACGCGCCGGGGCCGCGCCGTACCCGGCCGGACCCAGCGCCCTGCCATCGCGCACTCGGGCCGCGGCGCCTGCCGCGAGCCCGCCGGCTCCCGCGCGCTCGGGGCCTTCCCCGGGGAGTGGGAAAGGGAAGGACCCGAGGCCTTGCCTCGGGCCCTGCGACCCCTCCGCGGCGCGGCGGCACCATGGCCGCCGCCTCCTCCGGCCCGGGCTGCGGGGAGCGAAGTCAGGTCCCCAGTGCTGGGAGCCAGAGGGCTGGCTGCACGTCGACCTAGCCAAGATAGTTTCCAGGGCTGCGGCTGTAATTCGCAGCGGGACTTATACTGACATGTCAGGCGCTGCTGATTTGTCCGTGATGTCGTTCCTTAATCTAAAGTCAACCGTCGGAGGAGCCCGTGGCTCTCGGCGACTATGAAGTGCACTCTCTCAGCCTTACCCTTCTAGAGAAATCACTGGACGGTTCCTCGTATCCGCGTGCTTTTCCTTCAGAGGAGCCACCGCTCCACAAGCCAAAGTGAAGAAGGAAAAACAAAGTCGGTTCATCCGGATAAGGGGCTAACAAATAATTACGAGGAAGCCTAGGGTTTTAAATAAATGAGTTACAAAATGGTGAATTGAAGAGGAGGGAATTCAAGAGAGGGAGGGCAGGTATTTTCAAACGCTTCTCTTTAAACCCATGGCACTGTAAGGACAGGGGCAGAAAGCTGGACGGCAAGGGGTTCGTCTCTGAAATCGAGAAGGCAAAAAGACGTCGTAGAGGTTGCATAGAGAGAGCTAGATAACGAACGGTTGGGAGGTGTCCTTGTAAAAACCACAACAGGAACCCCACGTTCTAAAACCTCTGGTCGGCAAAACGGACTTAAACTCGGAACGCAATTTCCGCGAGTGCAGTTTTCCCGCCGGAGGCTGGGTGTGCGGCAGCCTTCCTCCTGCGCAGGCGCAGTGCCACTTAGAGAGGATGGAAGTTGTGGGTTTTCTGTGCTTGGCAGCGGCGATTCTCGCATGGGGCTTCGTCTGGCTTTGGGACTCCTGGGAAAGAATGAAGAGTCAGGAGCCGGCTGGCGTCCCGGGAGATGGAAGCAGGACCCTCCTGGTGATCGCGCACCCCGACGATGAAGCCATGTTCTTTGCTCCCACTGTGCTAGGCTTGGCGCGCCTGAGGCACCGGCTGTCCTTGCTCTGCTTCTCCGCAGGTAGGAGGCTGGAGGCGGGGCGCTGGGAGCTGGGGCTATGATGGGTATTTAGGTGCTAACCTATCTCAGTCGACTTCGTCCCGAAGGGAAGCTAAGTTTAGGGAGCTAAGTGAGTGCAACGAAGGTCCCTTCTCTGGGCACTTCACGGAGGATGGTGGCCCCAGCCTGTGGGCTGTAGCGGCCAACTTCCCAGGTGCGTAGGGGGACGTCCAAACAATCTAGGTTGTATCGTACCTGCTCAACCCTTAACATTGTACTACGGAAGGTAGCACAGGACCTTCCTGATGCTTTTTAAAACCCACTTTCTGCTAGAAAGTTGCATACGTCAAATTGAAGGGAGAGACTCAAGTCATTAGACTAGCAAATAATTTTATAGGTAATTCTAGAGTTCAGTTCCACCAACCTTCAGTAAAGAGGCCTTTCAAAGAGTAAGTCCTCCTTTACCATACAGAAAAGATGGACTGAGAAAACAAAAATTGACCATGATACTGGATTATGGTGATATTTGCTCAACTGTATAAATGTCATTTAACTGTACATAGACAGTGGGTATGTAAAATTATACCTCAATAAAGCTATTTTTAACAAATGCCCATGACCTGTTTTCCCACTTGGTTGTGTGTCATTACAGTTTCTTTTCTACACTGATTTTTTACAGAAATCCCGTATTATATAATTTTACATTTTTCACTGAACATTAGTTTTCATTCATTTTCCAAATATTTATTTGTTTATTATTTTTTTTTAAAGATTTTATTTGAGAGAGAGAACGAGTGGTGGGGAGGGGCAGAGGGAGAGGGAGAAGCAGACTCCCCTCTGAGCAGAGAGCCCTACAAGGGGCTCTATCCCAGGACCCCAAGATCATGACCACGCGGAAGGCAGACTTACCAATTGAGCCACCCAGGTGCCCCTACCAAATACTTACTAAAATTTTATGTATATATGTTAATTAATGAATTTAAATAAATAAAGAAAGAAATTATAGGTTAAAAATTAATAAAAAGCCACTTTTTAAAGAAAAAAAAGTTATGTGCACTGCACACTACTGGAATGGCCGAAATCCACAGCATTGACAACAGCAAATGCTGGTGAGGATGTGAAGGAACAAGAACTCTTACTCATTGATGGTGGGAATGCAAAATGCCTCAGCCACTTTGGGAGACTGTTAATTTGGCAGTTTCTAATAAAAACTAAACATGCTCTTACCAAACCATCCAGCAATCACCCTCCCTGGTATTTACCCAAAGGAGTTGAAAACACGTCCATGCAAAAACCTGTCCCCAGATGTTTATAGCAGCCTTACTCATAATTGCCAAAACTTGAGAGCAACCAAAACACCCTTTAGTTGGTAAATAGATAAATAAGTTGGTACATCCAGATGATAGAATATTATTCAACGCTAAAAAGAGATGAACTATCAAGCCGTGAAAAAACATGGAGGAACCTTAAATGCCTATCACTAAGTGAAAGAAGCCAGTCTGAAAAGGCCGCATACTGTATGATTCCAACCATATGACATTCCAGAAAAGGCAAAACTATAAAGACAGTAAAAAGATCAGCGGTTGCCAGGGGTTGGGGGGAAAGAAGGATGAATTGAAGGAGCACAGAGGATTCTTCTTCAGCAGTGAAAATGTTCTATGATATTATAATAAGGGATACATGTCTTTGTACATTTGTCCGAACCCTCAAACTGTACACCACCAAGAGTGAACCCTGATGTAAACTATGGACTTTGGGTGGTTATGATGTGTTGGTGTAGGTTCATCCATTATAACATGTACCACTCTCATGGGGGATGTTGATAATGAGAAAGGCTGTGCATGTATAGGGACAAGGAAATCTCGATACCTTCCCCTCAATTTTGCTGTGAACCTAAAACTGCTCTAAAAAGCATAATTTTAATTAAAAACACTTTGTAATTTAAAAAATTATATGCTAGTCCTTATACCCTAGGAATAAAACAGTGAAAACAAGATAGATTAGGATCATGTCCTTGTGAAACATAAGGTAAGCATTTACTCATGTTAATAAGAACTAGATAATAACAGCCTTTGTTTGTTTCAAGTTTTTATTTAAATTCTGGTTAATTAACATATAGTGTAACACTGGTTTCAGGATAATAGCCTTTCAAATGGTTTCGTAGAGATAAACCTTAATTTAGTCATCCCTTTATTGTATGTATATTTAGAGGGTTTTTTTTTTCCAGTTTATCACTATTACAGATAACAGTGAACATCTTTATGTATTTCATATTATTTCATTAGGACTGATTTCTAAATTTGGCTGTTTTTAAGGCTTTGCATGCAAATCAAATTCCCCAAAACATACCAATTTATATTCTCACTGACAGGTAGTGAGAGTATCTCCCTCAGTATAGCACCCTCTCTAGCACAGACTAGTATTTTTTTTATATTACTTCTTAGTATAACACTTTTTCCCAAAAAAATCTTTTGTTGCCAGTGAGGTTAACCCATTTTTCATTTATTGAGATTATGGGTCTAAGCACTATTCTTCTGTTTGTGCTTTAAGGATATTAACTGTAAATAGATACAGGTAATGGCCTCACTGTTTGCTTTTAATGGTATTTATGTTTTATATTACAACTGCAGGAGTCAAATTATAACAAACTTGTTTCAAGTTCTAGGAGAGAAACCTGGATATTATTCACCAAGTATTACAGGTGCAGTGACTTAAGTAAATTTCTCCTTGTTTTTCAGCAGGTTCAAACCAGAAATTAAAATATTTTCAAATGAAAAAATATAAAGCATGCCCCTGGTACATATTAAACACACAGTATCTTTGTCTTGCAAGTGTTTCCTCTGAATTGAACTTGCCATTTAAATTGTTCTCTCTTGTAACTTTTTTAGAAAGATTTATTGATTTATAAGAGAGAGCGTCGGGTGGGGGGTGCAGTGAGAGGGAGAGAGAGAATCAAGCAGGCACCAAGCCCAGCGCGGAGCCCATGGCGGGGCTCCACCTCAAGACCCTGAGATCATGACCTGAGCCGAAATCAAGAGTTGGATGCTTAACCAACCAAGGCCCGGTCTTGTAATTTTTAAATTCCTTTTATTTTTTAAATTCCTTTTCAAATCCCCAACTCATTCAAAAAGCTACAGATTAAAGATTACCCACACTCCTAATTTATTTTAACATGAAAAACAGGAAACTAATAGCTTGTGATACAATATATTAAAAACTGTAATGGCGGGGCGCCTGGGTGGCTCAGTCGTTAAGCGTCTGCCTTTGGCTCAGGTGATGATCCCAGAGTGCTGGGATCGAGCCCCGCATCAGGCTCCCTGCTCCGCGGGAGGCCTGCCTCTCTCTCTCCCACTTGCCCTGCTTGTGTTCCCTCTCTCACTATGTCTCTGTCAAATAAATAAAATCTTAAAAAAAAAAAACGGTAATGGCATTGATAGAGAAGATACTATGGACACAAAGTGGAGAAAAGCATGAATTCCCATCTCAGGGTTTTAGATTAAGGAAACTTCTCCAAAGAGGTTTTCTTTCGAGCTGGCCTTTAAAAATAGAACTAGGGGGGCGCCTGGGTGGCTCAGTCGATAAGCGTCTGCCTTCAGCTCAGGTCATGATCCCAGGGTCCTGGGATCGAGTCCCGCATCAGGCTCCCTGCTCCGTGAGAAGCCTGCTTCTCCTTCTCCCACTCCCCCTGCTGTGTTCCCTCTCTCGCTGTGTGTCTCTCTCTGTGTCAAATAAATAAATAAAATCTTTAAAAATAAATAAATAAAAATAGGACTAAGTATATCGGAAATGGGCCACATTGTTCTAGGCAGTAGTACAAGCATCAGTAAGTCTTGGACTTAAATGAATAATTCATTCTAACTACATTGCCAGTTTTAAGGGGCAGGGAAAGAAATGTACTGTTTTGTTATTAGTTCCTCATTTAATCCTCTCAGCAATCCCATCATAATCATTATTAAATATATACAACATTGTGTGCGTGTGTGTAATTTGTTATTCCTGTTTTACAAATACGGAAACTGAATCACAAGGAGGTTAAATAACTTGACCAAAGTGACCAACTAGAATGTAGAGACTCCTGGACCCTGTTCTAAACCATTACACCCAGTCTGCCTCTCGCATTGTCTAGTATACTATGTCTTGAGGAAATAACTATTTCCATTCCCAGTATATGTTCCAAGACGCACTAGTTCATCAAGCTGCTATTAAATTAAATGTGGGGGATATTAGCCAGATGTGCTATCCTCCATTTAGAGGTTCACAGCCCTTAGAATATCAACATCTTTGAGAAGTCTTGTAAAATAGCCCATTTAACTTTGTTTCGTCCAACAAATTTCCAATTTATGTCACCACCAAAGTATCTATTAATGTACACATGGGAGAAAGCTATAGTAGATAATAGGCTGTTACTGAATACATTTGGTGGAGAATTAACACAACCGGTTCTGTGTTTTAAAAGAAAGCTCATACTGGTGGCAATGTGGAGAATGGCTTAGAGGGAAAAATTGGAGTTGGGAAAACCAATTCAGCCCCTCCTTTCCCCTCAGACTGTACTTCACCTCTCATACCTGAGATTTCCCTGTATCTGTAATCCATATGCTGTTCTCTTTGTCAGTTTGAGACCCCTCTGCCAATATCATGCTGTCTTAATTACTGTAGGGTTTTGTTTGGGGTTTGGTTTTGTTTGGTCTTTTTAAGATTCTATTTTTGGGGCGCCTGGGTGGCTGAGTTGGTAAGTGTCCGCCTTCTGCTCAAGTCATGACCTCTCCCTCTGCTGCTCCCCCTGCTTGTGTTCTCTCTCTTTCTCTCTCTCTCTCAAATAAATAAATGAAATCTTTTTAAAAAAATTATTTTTTTAAGTAATCTGTACATATAGCGTGAGGCTCAAACTCATAACCCTGAGATCAAGAGTCACACTTTCCACAGACTGAATGAGCCAAGCACCCCGTTTTTGGTTTGTTTTTTTTTTTTTTAAGATTTTATTGGGGCGCCTGGGTGGCTCAGTCAGTTAAGCGTCTGACTCT